GCCTGTCAGTCAATACTATTCGCAGACAGATCTCGGCCCTCTCAACTGTTTTCTCTTGCGGCAACTTGACATCCCTAGCGCAACATCCAGCGATTAGCGCCTTTTTAAAGGGGGCGTCCAACACGAAGCCCCCCGTGGTACCCGTCTTGGAACCTGCCTAAAGTCCTTCTAGCCTTGACATCAGCACCATTTGAGCCCCTTGATTCATGTTCTCTTCACCACCTATCGCTGAAGGTGGCCTTCCTCGTGGCAATCACTTCAGCAAGGAGAATTTCAGAACTAGCGGCACTATCAGTAAGGAAGGATCTGTGTACCTTCTTCAAGGACAGGGTCGTCCTTAGGCCAGACCCGGCCTTCATTCCGAAGGTAAACAGCATCTTTCACAGATCTCAGGAATTGATTCTTCCCGATTTCTGCCCAAAACCCAAACACAGGCTAGAGCATAGATGGCACAAGCTGGATGTGCATAGAGCGCTGTGTTTCTACGTGAAACGCACGTTGACATTCCGCAAGACAGAAGCATTATTTGTTTCCTTTCAACCATCATCTATGGGAAAGAAGGTGTCTTCTTCCACCATAGGTAGGTGGATCAGAGCCTGCATAGCCCAGGCCTACGTTTCGCAGGAACTACCAGCACCCGCACATGTGACTGCCCACTCAACACGGAGCGCAGCCACTTCGACGGCGTGGCTAACACAAGCGTCGGTAGAAGAAATTTGTAAGGCAGCGACGTGGTCTTCACCGTCTGTCTTCATCCGGCATTACCGTTTAGACTCCCTGGCCGCATCAGATGCTGCCTTTGGTAGAAGAGTGCTACAGCAAGTCGTATCTGCTCAGAATCCGGTAGCCTAGACATTCCCTCCCAGGGGGACATGAGGGCTTTGGTATGTCCCATCCATTGGACTCTACAGCCATCCTGCTGGAGAAGGGGCATTGACTTACCTGAACACCTTTTCTCAGCAGGATGATGTAGAGTCCAAGCCCACCCAAGGGTTAGGTCTAGGCAGGTAGGTAATAAAGAGCTGCAATATCAATTCCAACAAAGTTTCTCGCCTAAGTCAAAACTGGGGTCACGCCCAAAGGAAGGGGTGTGGCCAAAGTTTTTACCCAGTCTGCCGGGCAGGAAGGCTGTCATAGAACCCATCCATTGGACTCTACATCATCCTGCTGAGAAAAGGCGTTCAGGTAAGTCAACGCCCCTTTTAATCAACAATATTTCCAAAGTTAAAACAAACAGCAAAGGTGACAATGGACATCCCTGTCTAGTCCCCTTTTCTATTATAAAAACCTCTGACAAGCCCCCATTAACTATAAGTTGTGCCGTTTGTTTTTGATAAATAGCACCAAGAGCTTGTGAAATTTTTTCTCCAAAGTTCATTTTATCGATTAGTCTTAATATAAATTGCCAATTCAATTGGTCAAAAGCTTTCTCAGCATCTAAAAATATCAATCCTGCAGAGACTTGATTATTTTTATCTAGATATTCTAATAAGTTAAAATCCTGGTATTATTTAAATAGTTGTTCTCATGAAATATAATAGTAAAAGTAAACTCTCTGATTATATTATGGTAGTTGCTACTAGCACAGTGAAATATGAGCACAATACATTTGGAATATACTTATCAAAGTAGGCTATAACCCATACCAATCACATTTATCCAAAATATAGATATGTACCATATATTCTGGCGTATAGGGTGACCCAGCATATAAGACGACCCCCTAGTTCGACGCCGGGTCGCAAGACGATCGATGTCGAGTTGCAAGACGATTGACGCAGAGCCGCATGCCTAGAAAGTCATCTTATATGCCGGAAACTATGTTATTTCCAGCGTATAAGATGATCGATGCCGAGTCGCATGCCTAGAAAGTCGTCTTATACGCCAGAAACTACCTTATTTCCGGCATATAAGACGACTCGGCATATAAGACGACCCCCGAGTTCGGAGGCTGTTTCGATGCTCTCAAAAGTCATCTTATACACCGGAATATATGTTATCGGCATGGGCATAACAAAAACTTTTCACAGAGGAACCAGACAATACACAGTAACAGCAGATGATAACATGTCATCATACTCCATTATGCATATCAAGGAAAAGCAACTTTGTAGTACAAAGACACCAAAACAAATTATCCAGAGTAAAAAAAACAAAAAACAATAGTTCCATGAGCAAATGCCATTACCAATAGCCACTTGGTAGATTTGGTGTGCCATCAAGTTTATTTCACTCTGAATGATTACAGAGACAAATTTTTTTCCAAGATTTCTCCCTAATATGCCCCTTCAAGTCTTCCAATGGTGTATTTGTCCCCATCGTAATTGATTTCATCCACATTGCTGCTGGTTATCCTCTTCTCTTTCCTTTCACTTTCCCCAATATTATAGATTTCTTCAAAGAGCTGGGTCTTCACTTCATGTGTCTGAAGTATGATAACGAGCATGGTAATTTATGCCTTGGGCGAGAATGTTGGGTTGATTTGTTTGATAATCTATTTATCTGGTTGTTTGTTTTTAAGTATCCATTGTATTCTCAGGAGTTTTCTCCAACACCGGGCGTTCAAAAGCATCAACATTCTTCCTTTCCTGCTTCTTCATAGTCCAACTTTCATTTTGGCATAGTGTCAAAGGAAGAACCATTACTTCGTAATTCTAATTCTGATTTTTTTTGTAGATATAGACATGTGCCAGTATATAAATATCTTTTCCAAGGCCTTAGTGCCTATTTTACCTGCACCATATACCTTGATTGTGGTTCCTTGATTGCTTATCCTACAAGGCACAAGCTATCCACAGTTTCAGTATCAACCCCGTTAATTCTAAAGCAACATGCCATTAGTTTGGTCTTCTTCACTGTGCTCCTTGATTTTCAGTACTAGAGTGTGCAAATCATTCAGCTATCACAGAAGTGTCATCAGCATAGCACAGGTTATTGATGTTTCTCCCAGGTTTTAAACCACACTCATTTTCTTCCAATCCAGCTTCCCTTAATATTTTGTTCATAGATTGAATAAATAAAGGAAGCACATACAGCCTTGTCTCACACTGTCAAACTTGTGAGATAATTCAGACAAGAAGCACACAGAAATATTACTTCTAACTCTATTGTAAGATTATATTATAGAATATTGCAGGTGTAAAAATAGATCTCTCCCCACCTGTCTTTACAGTCCAAGAAATTAGGGAGTATCTGTTCTGAGATGTTTATCACGCACACATTCTTCTTATGGCTCAATTACCACTTGTCTGATCTTTGTCTCCTGCAGCTATTCCAACTGTCTTTCAAACTTATTTGCACATACCAATATATATTCTTTTGCTAACCTAAGCCCAATCTGTTTCTTCATGTTCTATTTGGTTCTATGGTTCTATGGCAGTGGTTCTCAACCTGTGGGTCGGGACCCATTTGGGGGTCGCCAAACAATGCAGTCCGCTATTTTTTTCCCCTTTTCCTTAGCTGTGCTACTCCCTTTTATTCTATTGGCTTTTGAAAGCCAATAGAATAGACTCTTTTGAATAGAGTCTAATTCTATTGGCTTTCAAAAGCCAATAGGAATTGTCCAGGCTGTCTCTGCCCTGCTGAGCCCACCAAAAGTCCCATTCTGCAAACGGTGCTGCACCAGTTGAGTAGTCCTCGACTTACGACCGGTTGAGTAGTCCTCGATTTACGACCGGTTGGGGGTCGTGGCATTAAAAAGATTGAGAACCACTGTTCTATAGTTTCCTGATCTATGGATAGGTTTTTCATGAGGACAATAAAATGTTCTGAGATCACCATGTTTCTAAGGATGCTACTGACCTTAACATGATCAACACCATCGAAGACATTTCTATAATCAATAAAGAACATCTCTTTTTGCTGTTGTTTGATTATCCCATACATATTGGCAATAATGTTTTGGGTTCCTCTGCCCAAAGTCAGTTTGAACATCTGGTATTTCTGTCTCCAGAACAATAGATTAACAAAGTTAGAAGGGATCTTGGAGATCTTCTAGTTTAAACCCCCCCCCCCCTGGTCAGGCAGGAAATCCTATACCATTTCAGACAAAGGCATTCCATGTAGTCTGTGTTGGATTATTTATATATATTATTATTAAATTAAGAATACTATATAATAGTTTGCATAGTTAAGTCTACTTTCTTTGATATTGGTATGCCACAGTTTTATTAGAATATTTACTAACTAAACGGTGTCATCTTATCTCTTTCAGCATCTGTACTCTATTGCTTCATATCTCCCACTCTAATAACTTTCCAAAGATCACTAGAAATTTGGTTGTTATCCCAGGCCTTGCGGCAGTATAGTTTTGAAGTCTTCATTATTCAAGTTCAATTTTATAGTTGGCTGTATCATTCTTTTGGTTGACTGTGATCTTTTTATATCTACTGCTTTTGTTTTTCATTTCTAAGCCACCCAGAGTCATTAAGGAGTCAGATGGCTTTGAAATTGAAAGGATGCAGTGCTTTTTTTGTAAAAAAAAAAAAAAAAAAAAAAAGGTACCGGAACTCCGTTCTGGGCGTTCTATGAGAAAAAAAGCCCTGGATGGATGGATGGATGGATCGATGGATGGATGGATCGATGGACAGATGGACGGATGGATGGATGGACGGACAGGCAGGCAGGCAGATAGAGATACATAGATACATTAATACATGGATGATGATGATGAGATAGATAGGTAGGTAGGTAGGGAGAGAGGGGGAGAGAGAGAGAGAGAGAGAGGAATGCTTCTTGATCATCTCAAAAAAATAGGCATTGTGCTGCAATTCTACAAACTTAGAATATATTATTCAGCAATATTACATTGTAGCTCTCTAATACTAATTTAACACCAAAATATCCAAGAAAAATATCATTTATATCAGTTTTTTCTGCAAATATTTTAAGTCGTGTGGCATGAATCCATGTTCTTAATCTTGATCTTCACTTTTTTTATCAAAAAGACGATAAAAGATTATCTTAAAAGATGATCTTGAGCCATGTTTTTGTTTTCACAGAAAATGTCTGTCAAGGAGAGATTATTCGTGAATTCATTCGGAAGCAACAAGGTCCCGTCTCCTGTGTCTCCATGGTGAAGGTACCTCGTGTGGAATGTCATGGCACTTGTGGGAACAATCAGTGTTGTGCTGTTCTTCGCAGCAAAAGGCGGAAATACGGCTTCCAGTGTGTGGATGGTTCCTCCTTTACAGAAGAGCTAGAGAGACATGTGGAGTGTGGCTGTGCAAAGTGTTTATAAGCTCACGATCAGCCTCTTTGCTCTTTGTATCAAATCTGCTTTCAAACACAGGACCTATTTACTTTTAAGTGAAGAAGAGAATATTAAGTATATTGTAAAATAAGCAAAAAAAAGTTATTTTTATTATGAAAAGTGACTATTTTCATCTTTTATTATATAAAATCTGACCATTCTGGGTATATGTATCATATATGAGTTATTTTTACTATGGATTTTTTTTACAGTTGGTAAAAAAAATGGAAAAAATATTCCAAACCTAAACACAGGGATTAAAAAAAAAAGAGTATAGTTGATAAGCTTTGCACAGTGGCCAGATGTGAAAGGAATTCAAACTGTTTGCCACAGATTTAAAGAAACAGGTGTTGAAATGGTCTGGATATATACATAGTAGGAGCGATACATTCTGTGATCATTTGTGCCCAGGAATGCTTAGTTAGTAGCCCTCTCTCATGATAATGAAAGCTATATTTGTCACTGTTGTGATTTGCTTGATACCATTGCCAAGCACATGCACACATACACACACACACACACAACACAAAATACACACTGTGATAACACTATTGTAGCTTGGGCCTTATGCACAGATGTTTTTATGCACACATTAATGCAATGGTAATAGTAATGTATTTTGTCTTCTGTATATGATTGATTGTCACACAATTCCATTTATCCTATATTGGGGATCTAGCACAATCACTCATACATGGTAAAGTTGGGAAACATATTCTTTATAAATTTGTTTAGACTAACAAACTGAAAGAACATTTTATAGAACTCATAATGAATAACAGAGGGAATTATCCAGTTACTTGGCACATACTTCCTTTCCTTCAGCCTGTGAACTAGACCCTCTTTACCTGAACACACAAAGCATTATGCGTGCATCCTCAAGCAAAGAAAGGATGAGAAGGTAATTTCTTGTGGTGATGAGCTTTTCATTTGCCATTTCAGAGGATTTAGTTTTTCGGCTTTTAGTTGCAAAGCAGAATGGCAAAGAATGTACTGAAACACTGCCTTACCCGATCGTGACAATCCATTCAAAAAGTATTTACACAGATATATTTTACTTAATTCAAGAGTGTGGTATTCAGGTATTTTTACCTGAATATCAGATCTTTACAACTGACTCCTGCATATATTGAGGTGGCTGCAATTTTGAAAATTGTAAAGGAATTTTTTCCCCTCCAGATGTAAACTGAGCCACATATTGGCAATTGTCTGAAACAACTTCTGACTGCCAGCATGTAGAAGTCTTTCCATCAAACCTGTCTCCACCTGCTGCTGGACTGCTAGTTGTGACATGGGGAATTATTAATACCAATATAGTGCCTGTTGCACTAACCACATGAGAGAACCATGATACAACCAAATCTGTTTCTTTTAGTTCTCAACATTTACCATCAAGTCTTTACAAAAGAGCTTTGGAAAAGGAGAATGTTAATCGAAGGAAACATCTAAGAAAGTTGTATTCCAGCACCGTAAATGCCTTTCACCTTTTGCAGAACTGCATTTAGCTTCTTTTCTAGGAGCTTTTTTTTTCTCTTTCTTGGTATTGTAATAGTGATAGGAGAGCCTATCTTTCCAAGGAGCCATGGAGGAGGATAAGACAATTTTCAGAAGGGCTGGAGAAAGGAAGAACAAGGAGAGACAGCCCCTCACATTCCACTGAGATCTTGAAATCCTAGCAGAAATCTTAAATTTAAGTAGACTGTAGCCATACTCATCTAGAACAATGATTGTGTACATTTAACTTTGAAACAGAAAAATCCTGGTGGCCCTTCTACTAAGGACAAATGTTTGTTTTCTTATCATGCTTCAAGCATTCACATTTCAGAAGTCTTAAGATTCTAAGAATCCTTATTCTACTGCAGTCTTTTGAAAGCCACAATAGTCTGTTCAGATTTCCTTATGGATTCTCAGGATAATTTTAGGCAGAAGGGAAATAACTGATACAATGGTTGCCTTTCAGAATAAACAGTAATACGATGGAGCCTGTAATCAGTGTAAAATAAAACAATCATTGGTTACTTTGCCAAAAATAGATTGAACTAATAGAGTTCAGGGGCTGGCAGGAGAGTAAGGTTTGCAATGGAGAGTGGGGTTTTGTTATTTTGAGCACAATACGTGATCTAGAAGCAGCTGGAATTTATAACACAGAAATGCACCATAGTTTGCCGAGACCAAAAGTTTGCAAAAAGAAATGCAGCAACATTCTTTTCTTTGAATAAGATTTTGGCACAAGGCATCCTTTCCTTAATGATTTATTCTGATGTATGGTATCTCTTACCCTAAAAGCTATTGCCCCTGTTGCAGAGTATAATTCGGCCGGAATAGGCAGATCTTAGTTGAAAGGCTACTAAAGAATGTATACTCCTAAAAAGGAAATGAAAAATACAATATTAAGATAGTTTAAAAAGGTGCAATCTGTACAATACATTATCTTCTGTTAGAAAAGTTATATATTTGACAAGACCAAAAATAATAATAACAACAGTAAAAATCCATCAACATTTCGTGAAATAATTCCAAAAATGTATACAGAACTTCCAAATTGAACAAGAATTAATCACAGTGGAGTAATATTGGCTGCCTTCCCTCAATATATATTTGGATTAGAAGATTTAGAAGAAATAATAGACACTTTATTTGCTTACTGCCATTAGATAGTTTATGCTGTGTTGTGTTTCAATTGATTATATGGAATCTGATTTCTTTGTCTGTGTTTTTTAAGTGCCAAAAGATCTATGAAGTTAGTTTAAAAAGTGTTAATTAGACTTCTCTATACTGTCAAAATGGCAGTACGTTTCAGCTATTGTATGGGGAATGCAGTACCCTACTTTTTAAAAGTAATATAAAGAAAGAAGCCCTATAAAAATTGTACATTGGCAACGTGGATTAGTATGAATTTTGTGTATTTTACTGGATTGTCCTATTGTGATGTAATAAATTTAAGTAAATTGTTGGGTTACAGATAATTGTGCTTTGTCTTGTGTTGCTATTTTATTTTTATTTTATTTTGTCAGTTGGGCACATTTCCAGCTGCTTTCCAGACATTTTTGAACCTGAATCTCTTGGTCTAAGGGCACACAGGAGAACGTGTGCAATACAGGAGGTGCAATTGCTCCCAAAAGCTGATCACTTTATCAATTGATATGAGCTTTCATATTATATAATTTCTGTTCTCATATGGGTGAACCACAAGTGGAAACAATCTGAGCTGTAATAACACTGGAGAAAAAGAAGTCTTTAATTCATGTCTTTTAAAAAATTGATTGGTCCCTTTTTATATATTTGTACAGTCTATTTATTTATAAAAATTTATATACCATTCCAGTACAATTGGGCTTTACATTAAAAACCATTTTAGATTTAAGGCAAATGTGGACATCTGGCCCAAAGCATAGAGATGGATTTTAAATTATTACTTTCAATAAATATTAAGAAAATACATTGGGGGGAGGGGGGGTGTCAAAAAGAACAAGTTCAAAAGATGCATATAGGATCAACGTTAACCTAAGCATATCTATCCTATTACATATGGAATTTTTGTTGAGCAAACAAACATGACGATGAATATATGCTAAATTGTGCCTCCATGTACTGCTACCATGGTATTTGGATGATTTGTTTTCCTCTTGTCAACTGATGTCATGATTTTTTAAAAATGTTAATAGATGTTATAGAGATTGGGGGTATAGGTGCAAACTAAAGAGAGGGGTCCCATAATGAAAATGGACTTTAAAAGAAGACCAGGAGTAGGAATATACAATTAGCTTTGAAGTTCAAATAAAGGTTTTTGTCTACCAAGGATAGCTACAGTATATATTGTAACTGTTATTGTTTTACTCCAGTTATGACACTTTTTTTTCTATACGCCATTAATTAAAAGAGTTCAGAGTACATTAAAAAATAGGTAATAAACTCCATAGTTCACACTATTTCACAAACATATAGCCAACAGAATCACATTTGCTATACCTGAAATACAATTTTAAATAATTCAACTTTAAACTTTAATTGTAGAAAAGTATGCAAGCATCTTTCTGAAAATTATGTCAGCATTAGAATATGTTCAACTGAAGGTTGGCTTATGATACCATATTTCTCTAATGATTTAAATTTAGTTATGTCACATAAACTTCAGTTATTATTATTCTCAACCCCAATTCTAACTCACATTTATTCTATTGTATTTAACCAACTTATGGTTTTTGTAGTCTTTATATCTGGACAAAAAGATATGAGACACCTTTTATGAAATAAAGCAAATATGAGACCTTCTAACAGTTCCAAGTAAAAAAAGCTCTTGTGTTCAGTCAAGGAAGTCCTATTGGTTATTTCATCAATTCACATATTTGGTGATAGATGAAGAATAGGCATTTAATTCCATCGCAACATAATAAATTGGAAAATGACCCTTCTATTCTCTGCCTCCTCTCTGTGTAATCAATTGCCACAAATCCTTTTACCTCAGGTGGTCCAAATACTAGAAGTCAGCAAAACCAAAATAAAGTTATTTGTGATAAAAGAACAAAATAACATAAACTGGGAGACTACATCTCAGATTCTCATCATTTGAGAGAATGAATCCATTTTTATTTTTAAGTGAAAGAAGACCAAATGTTTACAACTGTAATTTAGTGTCCTCATCATTGCTTTCATTTTACTGCCAGGAATGACTGCTTGTTATCCATTTTTATTTTCTGAAGGATCTATCATATTTATTTTATCCCTTAGGCCAGGGGTGTCAAACTGCCGGCCCGCAGGCTGGATGCATCATAACGAAACCACACCCACCCCATTGCCAGCAATGGCAAAAAAGTTGGGACATGACACGTGATTTTGTGAGTTTGACACCCCTGCCTTAGGCAGTTAAATCCCTTCAGTAGATCCTAGTTCAGAACATTATCTGGGAAGAACACATTTTCTCAAGAAATAAAACTAAACCAGTTGCAGAACTGCAAACATTCTTCTGGAAACTTTCATGACACAAATTGTGATCGATAGATTAAGCAGAAGTGAATAATCAAAACAGCAGCCTAATCAATAGAAAGTTATTTAATTTTACAGCCCTTTTAGTTGAACATAAATATAATAGAAATGAAACACTGCATTCCAGAGAGACAGCATGTTGCTACAAATCTAGAAACAAGTCTGGTAACATTAAGTACTTCTCACTTTGCACTTAGGACTCATTCCATGCTGATGTGATGGCATTATAATGATATTGTGAGTTATGAAGACAAAGATCACTTTTCACTCAGTAGAATGTGTATATTTAAAGTGGTTAGTCTGAATTTTATCAAGAACCCATGAATAAACTTGGCAATCCTGAAAATAATATATACATAAAAATAATGGGACAAACAAAAGCAGTGCCGTGATACATATTTATCAGCAACCAGACAACTTGCTGCAAAGTACAGATAGCAGAATGTTAATAGGTAGCAAAATTAGCAGAAAAATAATTACATGCAATTCTTATCTTGACTCATTCTCTTGGAAGAGAAGTTATGTGTTCTATTAGGCACTTGGGGGGAAAAGATGACAGGAAAGGATTGAAGCCAGTAACAGAAACACAATTAAGGAATTAGATGAATTACTATCTAGGATATTAAAAGAACCTGGACAAGTCAATACACATTATCTCTGAGAAATCCTGGAGAACAGGTAAAGTACCAGATGATAGAACATTATCCTTATCATCAAAAAAGTGGTGATGAGGTGGAGACAAACAAAGGGATTTATAGACCAGTCATTTTGATATCAGTTCCTAGAATGATTTTATTTGAAAATACAGAACAATCTCTAACCATCTTGAGAAAGACATATTGCCACAGTGCAGCATGGATTTGTTAAGAAGTCTTGCCAGACAAAACAGGCTTCATTTTTTGTTTGGGTAACTTCCCAAGTATATGGGACACATTATAGCTTAACTTTGATAAAAAACATGTATTTTTTAAAGTATCCAACCTAGAATTAAGGAGAGATTTATTGAATCAATGGAACAGCTTGCCTCCAGAACTTGTGGGTGCTCCTTCACTGGAGGTTTTCAAGATGAGGTGGACAACCATTTGTCTGCAATGGGGTAGGGCCTCCTGTTTGAGCAGCAGATTGAACTAGAAGACCCCCAAAGTCCCTTCTAAACCTGTTATTCTATTTTCTATTTGAGAAAATACCCAATGGCATTTTCCTTAGCAAGCTACTGAAGTGTGGGCCGGATGCCCTGAGATTTAAATTGGTAAATAGCTAACTTAAAATCAGTATTAACATGGTGTCCATTAATGGTTCTTCATGAAACCAGAGTATTGAATGGAATATGAGAAAATCGACATAGGCCCTGTACTCATCATAATTTTGTTAAGGTAAGATTTTCAGAATACAGAAAATCTTTAGAGAGTGCACAGGAAGAAGTGTTCCTCTCTTCTACTCAACACTAGTAGCTCACTGCTTGCTTTTTCTGCCATGCTCATTAAAAGCTTTGTTAAGCAATGTAGCTTTCATTGTCTACCTAAACTTTTGTGAATATTGCTTCCTCTGACAGTACACACTAAATCTTTGGTGCCGGAGATGCTATGAAGCAGAGCAAGTTGAAGCAACGTGATTGGTTTGCTCTTAGAATTAAGGCAATCACATTGCTTCATGAAACAGATTTGAGAGAGTGCTTCACTCAATGGATCCAGGATTGAAGCAGAACTGCGTGAACTAGGGCATCTCCAACCAAGTTGCCTCTCCTTCCTTCCTTCCTTCCTTCCTTCCTTCCTTCCTTCCTTCCTTCCTTCCTTCCTTCCTTCCTTCCTCCCTCCCTCCCTCCCTCCCTCCCTCCTCCCTCCCTCCCTCTCTCCTTCCCTCCCTCCCTTTTTTCCCTCCCTCCCATCCTCCCTTCCTTCCTCCCTCCCTTCCTTCCTTCCTTCCTTCCTTCCTTCCTTCCTTCCTTCCTTCCTTCCTTCCTTCCTTCCTTCCTTCTCTTTCTTATCTCTTTCCTTTCTCTGCACTCAGGAAGGGGTAATGGGAGAGATTGCCAGCACTGCCAGTGTCCATGCTGCTGCTGGCCATTGCTATACCATGCGGGCAGCCAGACCAGGTCCTGGTGAAAGGGAAGCCTAGTGGCTGTGAGGCTAGGTCAGTGAAGGAGCCATGGAGGTGCTGGTGTGGGGTGGTGGCACTGATCTACAACCTGGTTGTAGGTTTTAGGCAAGAAAAACCAAATGCACAGGTATAGTTTAGGAAGTACCTTGCTCAATAGTAGTAACTGTGAGAGGGATCTCAGAGTCTTAACAATCACTTAACAATCACTTAAATATGAGCCAGCAGTGTGCTGCAGCTGCCAAAAAAGCCAACACAGTGCTAGGCTGCATTAATAGAGGAATAGAATCAAGATCACGTGAAGAGTTAATACCACTTTAAAATGCCTTGGTAAGGCCACACTTGGAATACTGCATCCAGTTTTGGTCACCACAATGTAAAAAAGATGTTGAGACTCTAGAAAAAGTACAGAGAAGAACAACAAAGATGATTAGGGGACTGGTGGCTAAAACTTACAAAGAACGGTTGCTGGAATTGGATATGTCTAGTTTAATGAAGAGAAGGATGAGGGGGGACATGATAGCAGTGTTCCAATATCTCAGGGGTTGCCATAAAGAAGAGGGAATCAAGCTATTCTCCAAAGCACCTGAAGGCAAGACAAGAAGCAATGGATGGAAACTAACCAAAGAGAGAAGCAACCAAGAACTAAGGAGAAACCTCCTGACAATTAGAACAATTAATCAGTGGAACAGCCTGCCTCCAGAAGCTGTGAATGCTCCAACATTGGAAGTCTTTAAGAAGAGATTGGACAACCATTTGTCAGAAATGGTATAGGATTTCCTGCCTGAGCAGGGGGTTGGACTAGATGACCTCCAAGGTGCCTTCCAACTTTATTATGGATCATCGCACAGTCAGCCATAATCAAGTGCCTAGAAATAACAGGA